TTCTTTTTTTAAAACCTTTTTTTCCCTCGAGATTGATTTGATTAGCAAATCAAAAATTCGAGAGTTTTTCGAAACGAGTCTAGTTATCTATCTATCTATCTATCTATCTATATATATATATATATATATATATATATATGTGTGTGTGTGTGTGTGTGATAGAATAAGGAACTACTAGAAAATGTTTTGTCTAATTAACATGTTTCGCTTTTAGCAAAGTTTTGTCAGGGAATGTAATATGGAGAAGAAAAAGAAAAAGAAAGAAAATTCTGCTATTTTTTATTTGTTTATTGAATTTCCTTTCATTTTCTTTTTCTCTTCCATATTTCCTTCTCTGATGACACATGGCCCAGTGGATAAAGACCCAGTGAATAGACCGAAAGAGTTGTGAGTTCAATTCCAGGCCACAGCAGTGGTGAACCAAACTTGGAGTTGAGTTAAAGGGAAATTACTGAGACCGGAAGAGGCACGGCACGTGGAACTAAAACAGTCTACCCCGGTGGACGAAACACCTGAAGAAGACCGGAACGTACAACGGCCGAAGCGTTTTGAATATGGCAATGAGGATGAGGATAACAGTCCGAATAATGTAAATAATATCAGTACATCTATAAAAGTTCCCTATCCTTATCCTTTCATTCTCTCGGAATTCCAATCCGTATTTGATCCCAATTCATCTCTCTCTCTTTTTTCTCTCTCTGTCTACACACACATACACACACACTCTCATATATATATATATATATATATATATATATATATATATATATAAAAACATGTTTCATTCAATACTTTAGACAAGTTTGATAATTATTTTCAATAATATCCTCTCATATTCACGGATAAGCTTCTTAGTATCCTTATTAAAGTAAAAGAGATAATTACCATGTTGATACATATTCATTTATATCGAGTTCTTTCAACATTAACACAATGTCATCACAAGGACGTTGTTTTTTTCTTTCTAAGACAAAATTGTTGTGTTTATCTGAAAATGAAACTGAAATGTCTTAAAATGTTTCCAATAGTTTATTTTGTTTTTTTAAAACATATGGATTTTTAAAAACTTAGTTACCTCCACTAACATTTACATCGTGAAATTTAAATCATATATATATATATATATATATATATATATATATATATATATATATATATCAATTCCAAATTTCCATAATATAGATTTTACTTTATTAGCTACTATATTCCTCTAAGTCTTCAAATGTCAAATGTATAACTAATTCTAAATTCTATATTTCCATTTTTACACTATATTAATAATATCTTATAATTGCTTCCTCTTCTAAGAACTCTCTTTTCTTTTATCAATTGCACCTCTTTATCTATATATTTTATGGTTGTTTTTTTCATTTAACTTTGTATTTTTATATATACCTTTTTTGATTTAACTTATCTTTAAAGTTAAAAAATTTATTTATTTCATTTTTATTTCTAAATGTATAATTTATTTTATCTTATATTTTTATTTCTAAATATTTTTTCTTTAATATAACCTATTGATTTTATATTAAATATAAACATTTTAAATATAATTTTACTTAATTGTAATATAAATAATCTAAATATGACTTATTTTTAATTTTGATATATCTTATTTTTAGATATAACTTGTCTTTGGAAGAGTATTTTTAAGTATGATTTTGTATTTTTAAACCTGACTTTATCTATATAATTCAAAGTTTTTTACCCCCCCCCTTTTGTTCTTTCTTATTTTTAAAATTAATATTTCATTATTCACATAACCTCAATTTAATGTCATAAGGTTAATATCCGGGTTTAATTTGTATAAAACCTCTTCCCTTTAAGAATAATGCTTTCCACCTTCCCCTGATCACTGACTCGTGCCTTTCGTCTGATTGAAACATTGAAATGGATAAATTCAGTATTAGTTTTTCAACGTTTTTTTTTGTAGTTGTCTCAGTTAAATTTCTAATTCCGACACGAACTCAGTCTATAGCGGGGTTGAATAAGAGTGACGAATATGTACTGTAGTATTATCTACTTACATATAATATCCGTCACTCTCCAAAAAGAAAATAATACTAAATAGAATTTTCACACTTTAAAGTACAAAAGATTTAAGGAGGAATAAAATTTAAATCTCTTTTATATATTTACCTTTCGCCCCCTTCCCTTGTGCACACATAATTCGATACTTTTATGATAAAAAAACTAAATGTTATGTAAAAATCAATTAACGTATCCGTTTAGTTTCTCACTTGAATAGAGAGAGAGAGAGAGAGAGAGAGAGAGAGAGAGAGAGAGAGGTGATGGAGATAGAGAGAATATGTTTATCTGCTTCGAATTTTGTAATGGTCTTTGTTATGAACATTTCAAATAAAAGCACTGAATGCTCTTTTCTTTAAACTTTATTAGACCATTAATTCTTCACCATAAAAGTGTTCAATTAACATCCGTGCATTAAAAATGTTGTATTACAAAAGCGAACCACCGGCTACGCATACCTTCACCATAATAACAAGCGTTTAATAACATTTTTTAAAATTACACACACACTCGCACACACAGAGGGTGCGATGGGTAAATTTTCGCAAATTGATATTTTTAATTTCGCGCATGCGCATTGTTTGTTTCTGATTTTGTCGAATGCACGGTATATTAGGGTTATTTGGACACCGTCTGTGAGAAAAAGAGTACCATGACGCAATTCACACCGCCAGAAATTTGGAAACGGTATGCTGTACTGCTTAGCATTCGGTCAGGAGGCTCCAATACAAACATTCTGGAGTGTTTGGGTGTTAATCTGCAGACAGTGCAGAGGATTCGAAAAGAGTTGGATGCTATATCTTGTCAGTACCATGGTGAGCACTATATTATGCTACCATTTCTCTTTCCACAGGCTATCAGACTCAACACGTAGTCCTACATCAAGTGCCTTGACGATGTAGTGCAGCTCTGGGTCAAGAGGGGGGATACTGGAAGACCCTTTGTCTGGCAAAAGAACTCTGCCCCATGGCACATAAAAAAGAGAACCCAGTCATGCGACCAAATCACCTCTTACATTGGGTCACCTAACTCCCAAGCCTGCAACCCTCTTGATTAATATGTGTGGGGGTGCATTTGAGCAAAAGAGCAACAAAATTCTTTGTAACACTAAAGATGAACTGAAGGCAAGGATTATGGCAGCATTTACCAACTTAAACAAGAGACCGTCCATTTGCAAGGGATTTCGAAGTCGTTTGGATGCTGTGGTTTAAACCAAATAGCTATTTTTTTGCATAAATTTACTCTATATTATTTTAATATATCTTTGTGTAATTTTGGTAAATATATCGGTTAAAATGAGTTGTCAGTGCTATTTTCATTTTGCGTAATTTAGATAATAATTTATACATCGTACCCTATATATATATATATATATATATATATATATATATATATATATATATATATATATATATATATATATATATATATATATATATATATATTATTAAGCATTACGCCCGGAGCAAGGCGTGAAGCCACTAGGATGCAGGGGGTTGCAGAAGATTTGGAGCAAGAGCAGATAGGAGTGATAGAAGAAAAGGATGAAGAGAGGGATAGTGGATAGATCAAGGTAACTGGAACTGCCGATTGACATTACATTTGAATAGTTGGAGATTATAGCTCTCAGGGAAACAGTAATTGGGAAGGGTGTTCCACGGGCGAGAGGTGCGACGCATGAAGCTATTGGAGTAGAAGAGACGGCTACATTTAAAAGTTTCTACAGTGTAAGGGTGGGAGCGGGATGCCAGCCTCGTAGGGCGCTTGAATTCATGGAGTCTGGGAACCAGTGAAAGCAGCTCATCGGAGCAATTACCATGAAAGTATTTGTAGAAAAGACAGAGAGAGGCGACGGCGCGTCTGTGAGAGAGTGATTCGAGACGAGACGCCAGATCATATCCGTCTCTGGATCTTGTCAAGAACTCTGAGGTAAACAGAAGGTGCCCCAGACCATATATGGCAGCAATACTCCATGCAAGGGCGAATGGTTGATTTGTATATTTGAAGTATCGATAAATGTGAATGATATAACGTCATATAAGTTTTTGAATATTAACAAAAATAAAATGTATGACAAAGTAGGAATATCAAACACTTAAAATCCCATAGGTATGTCTTTTGACATAGAGCTCTCCCTGGATCTATATCCTCTTGGAAATTCCATCCGGATTACCATATTGTATCATTATATATATGTTATAGGATTAATACAAATGAAATTTATTACTTAACTGATTGTGGTTATGATCAGCACCTCGACTCAAGAGTTTTGTAGAGGAAATATTTTAATTGTTCAATCCACTCTTTTGGAGCGTTCAGTATTCTTATTTATATTATATTTATACTAAGTTGTATATATATATATGATAGAATTAATTGTACTTATTTTTGATATGCGTACGTGTACTAAATGCTTTTGAAAACATTGTGGGAATGTCTAAAAGTTTTAAGATAGTTGGACGTAACAACTATGTCTAGTGTAGGAAAAGTAGGTAATCAAGAGTGGTTGGTCATTGTGCACAATGCAGACATGCCAAAGAGGAGACATGTTTGTCAAAATACCTGGTCGCAAGACAACACACAGTATGTAATCCTGAACTCACTGTCCCCATTTGCAAAATGCTTTGTTACTAGATGTATGTATTATATATATATATATATATATATATATATATATTGAATACATACATCTATATATATATATTGAATAAATATAAAAGTGAACATAGAAGTCAACACTTAAATATATATATATATATATATATATATATATATATATACGTATTTATTTGGCTCTCCCGTCTAATTTGACGTATTAGGGTCAAGCAGCTCAGTTCTTAGGAACCGAAAGCCCGACACCAGCACATGAGATTTGATTACAGTGGTGAAGGTTTTGTGCAGAAGAGCCGAAGGTTTTGAATTCAGGGTTGTCCTTCTCCTAGACCAGCTGCCATCCTGTTATTTACCCATAGCTGGAGAGAGGAGAAGAGGATACATATCTTACATAATTCTATCTATCTATCTATCTATCTATCTATCTATCTATCTATCTATCTATCTATCTCTCTCTCTCTCTCTCTCTCTCTCTCTCTATATATATATATATATATATATATACTTCAATTTACGTACAATTCCTTCCAGTCTACCCATATTTTCGTTGATTTATTTTCTCTCTTGTTCTCTGTTCAATCATTTCTATTTCATTCTGTTCATATCTTTTTTTTCTATGTATCCATATCAATATTAGTTCATATCTATCTATCTATCTATCTATCTATCTATCTATCTATCTATCTATCTATCTATCACAGTCTTTACCTATCTTTCTGGACAAGTATATATTATTCACTGAAGGCCTCCGACATCCTCATACCACATAAAGACACGCCAAGAAAAGCCAACGCTACAGTGCCTCCAAAAGCAGGGACTGCTGATCTGTATTCAAGGGAGGTGTCGTATGAAAGGCACCATCCCGGTCGGGTCACGCCTAAATCCGTTGTTAACTGCCAGGAGACACCTGTTGTATAGATTAGTAACCGTTGTATTGTATCCATGCAATGCACCGGCTGCATTGATTCATTAAAACAACCTGAAAAGCTTTCACAATGGCCGGGTCAACGCAAAGGTCACTTATCTCCCTTTATCTTTGCTTGTCCCCGAACAAGGCGATTACAAATAGTACCCGATGCTTTCCATTCATCGCCGAGGCGAGTGTTTGGGCGTATGGAAAAGACGGACAATAAAAAGCCGCGGAAACGCCATTTGCAAGGTTGACTTCAGATGAGTGCGGTGTGGGTTGGAAATGAAAGCTGATGAAATTAAATGAGAGGAGGGAGAAAGAGAGAGAGAGAGAGAGAGAGAGAGCAAAAGAAGATAATAGAAGGGGGATAATAATAGAAGTGGGGGAAATAGAGATAGATAGATAGATAGATAGATAGATAGATAGATAGATAGATATGGAAAAGAGGACAGTAAATCAAGGAAGTGAAAATGCCATGAAAAAAAAGAGAGAAGAAGAAGAAGAGAAAAGAAAGAAAGAAAGAAAGAAAGAAAGAAAAAATAAAACTAGATAGAAAATGACAAATGATAAAAGAAATGAAAAAGCGGAATGAATGAAAGCAGGAGTGGTGCAGTTAGAGGAAGATCGAATAAGAGAGGGAGAAAGAGAGAGTCAGAGAGAGAGAGAGAGAGAGAGATGAAAAGACAAAAAAGAAAATAAGTATATGAAAAAAGTGAAGAGAAAAGCAGATAGTGGACAAGGTGCAAAGATGAGATAGATAGATAGATAGGAATAGACTGGCGCGCGCACATATATATATATATATATATATATATATATATATATATATATAGAGAGAGAGAGAGAACTGTAAATAAATGGAGAAGACAGATTATAAAGTAAAAGAAAAGAAGGTGTAGCGAGAAAGAAAACGAAAGTGAGAAGGAATAATCCAAGAGATGTGGAAGAGAGATAGAAGAATTGAAGAGAGGGGGAGAGAAAGAGAAATAAAAATAAAGGGACATGAAAAAGACGACAAATAAAGCAAAAAAATAAATTAGAATGCGAAAAGAAAGTAGGATAGAGAGAGGCACAGAGACGAGGAAGAAATAATAAATAAATAAATAAATAAATAAATAAATGGAGAAAGAAAGAAAGAAAGAAAGAAAGAAAGAAAGAGTAGGAACTAGATTGAGAATAAATAAAAGAAGGAAATAAAAATGAAGAAAGAAAGAAAGAAAGAGAAAGCCGGATAAAGGAGAAAGTGAGACAGAATAAAAAAAAAGGGAGAGACAGAGAAGTAGAGACAAATTGTAAAGACGGCAAATAAAGAACCCCAAAAAGAAATGAATAAAGATGTGCGGAGAGAAAGAGAAAATAAAAAAATTAAGGAAAAAGACCAGAAGAAAAGAGAGGTTTTGTTTGTGTGTGTGTGTGTGTGTCTGAGAGAGAGAGAGAGAGAGAGAGAGAGAGAGAGAGAGAGAGAGAGAGAGAAGAAGAAGAAGAAGAAGAAGAAGAAAGGCGGGTAGTAAAGGACGGAGGAAATAGGAAAAAGTGAAAAAGAAAATAGGAGAGAGAGAAATAAGCTAGTCGATGGGAGAGAGAAAGTGGGGAGGAGATATAAATATGAATAAAGAAACAAACAAACAAATGAAGGGGTGGCGATAAATGGGATTTAATTTGAAGCCTGGGTCCACTGCAGTTTTATTCATAGAATTTTAAGTGACTGCTGCATAAGAAAAAGCTTTCATTGAATACATCTGTTCTTGTCCGATCACCGAAGTTAAACAACATCAAGCCTGGTCAGTAATTAAATGGGTGACCACTTTGAAATACCAACTGATGCAAGATTAGAATCATGCACATGGGCGCAGCGTAGCTGTAATTGTCGTCAGTGGGACTGGCGTGTCGTGTTCGAATTCCAGACGAGGTTGCTGTATTTGTCAGTAACAGTACGTCTGTCAGTAAACAGAATATTATACAGGGTGTGACAGAAATAACCCTGACATATACGTCCATGATATACCTTCCAGAAATTCTCCGGCATATACCTCCCAGAAATATTTTCCACATAAGGCATTAATAGGTATTTCTGGGAGGCGTAATGCTGGACAATCTCCTCGCAAATGAAGAAGAGACTTGAAGCAACAGAAATGTGGTTCTACAGTAGGATGATGAGGATACCATAGACCAAACATGTGAGCAACGACGAAGTTTTAGAGAAAATGAGAACAAAAAGAAAACTTATACTTAAGTTACATAAATCCGAGGACGCGTTGGTATAGCAAAAGATGCCTTTCAAAAGCTAAGCAAAGTATTAAGAGATAATTTTGTTAGAAACAAAGAAAAGAGTACTGAACTGTTACTTAATATCAGTCATCCTATATGGCAGTGAATGATGCACACTCATCGCACAGATGAAGAAGAGACATAGATATGGTTCTACAGAAGGATGCTGAGGATACCGTTGGCCAAAATATGAGCAACGACAAAGTTATAGAGAAAATGTGAAAAAAGGAAACTTATACTTAATATCAGGAAGAGAAGGTTGAAATTTCTAGGCACATAATGAGGAAAGAAGGCTTGGAAAATATAATGCTTACAGGACAGATTAAAGGCAAGACGGGCGGAGGAAAATAAGGCATAACCTACTTGGTGAGCTTGAGTAAATGGATGACGGAACAAGGATTAGGAATGATAACAAAAAGACAAATTTTATTAAGAGCTACGAAGAACAAGAAATTGTGGAGAGCCATTATCGCCTACGTACTGATAGAACACGGCACATAAAGAAGAAGTTGAATACCCGTTCTATGAACAGGGAATTTGTTGAGTTGACATAGAGGGTCTATTACCGCTCTAAAATGTCTGTATAAACAACATTTTTCAACAGGACATCTAAGGGAAGTAACTCATTTTCAACGCTTATAACTGTCGTAACCTATAAAAGGTTTCTGAATGAGGAATAACCAAAACGGGGTTTGGGAATGAAATGGTATGAAATAAATAGATAGATGAACAGAATGAGAATAGATAGATAGATGAAAAGAATGAGAATAGATAGATGAACAGAATGAGAATAGATAGAAAGATAGATGAATAGAATGAGAATAGATAGATCGATAAACGGAATGAGAGTAGATAGATAGACGAACAGAATGAGATAGATAAATAGAATGAGAATAGATAGATAAATAGAATGAGAATAGATAGATGAACAGAATGAGATAGATAGATAGGTAGATAGATAAATGAATAGACTGAGAATAGATAGAGAGATAAACAGAATGAGGATAGATAGACAGATATATAGATGGATGAACAGAATGAGATAGATAGATAGATGAAAAGAATGAGAATAAATAGATAGATAAATAGAATGAGAATAGATAGATAGATGAACAGAATGAGATAGATAGAAAGATAGATAAATAGAATGAGAATAGATAGATTGTTAAACAGAATGAGGATAGATAGACAGATATATAGATGGATGAACAGAATGAGAAAGATAGATAGTGTTGTAACCTAGAAAGGTTTACTGAAAAAGGAATAACCGAAAGAGTGGTTGGAAATGACATGGTAATCTTTATAACATCAACAAAATACAATACTCGCCAGCCGTGTGAAGCAGGTAAACCACTGCTAGCGGTGATCTACTTAGAGAGCATATTAACGCCCACTTGCAATAGTGTCCAACGTATTTGTGAGGATTAGGACATACTCATTAGTATTCATAGGTACTGTATATACCAGTAACTTTATTTGTCTTTTCTTCATTTTCCTTTTTCCTTTTGATCTTATTTATCGTTGTTCGTTTTGTGATTCTTTGACATCTTTCTGCCTACTTGTGTTCTGAAAGCCATGATGACCCACGCTCTGAAAGGACATGGTACACAGAAGAAAATATGTGAGAGCTATTTCTGCCGCACCCTATATATTAATATATATATATCTTGGAGGTGCGCGTTGCGTTGTGGTTATCAGTGTAGAAAGTGACGTGGACGTTCCCCGTTCAAAATATGGCCGAGGTAGTTGCGTTCACTTTCGCAAAAAGCATGAATGCATTTCTTGGAATTGTATGAATTCATCTCTGCACTCAGCCTCCATCTATGTTTTTAATCATTTCACTCCAAGCAAGGCGGTAACGCCATTAATACGCAGGAGGTCACAGGGAATGTAAGTGAGAGAGAAGACTGAGTAAAAAAAGGATTGAGGAAAGGAGGACAAAAGATGAACGGGGTTCAAGAAGGCAGAAGATGGCGATTGACATTGCATTTAAATTTTTGAGGATTGTAGTTATCAGGGAAGAAAGTAAAGGGAAGGGAGTTTCACGGCTGGGAAGTGTGGGAAAAGAAACTGTTGGAGTAGAAGTGGCGGTTGCATTTAACTATTTCAACATAAACGATTGGGACCTAGATGCTCATCTAGTGGACCGCTTAACTTCATGTAATCGAGGCACCAGGGAAAAAAAGCTCGCTAGGGTTAATATCAGGGGGGACTAGGCTCTCTCGAGAAGGATAACTCTCAATTCAAAGTTGATTAGGCGTGTAAAAATTATATGTAATATTTGCTACAGAAACCACAACATCACATTGAAACACCGTTTCTCGTACGATCACCAAAGTTAAGCAACGTCGAGCCTGGTAAGTACCTACCATTATTTCAATCGGTGAACCAATATTGATAACCGTCTCAAGGATTTTGTTTCCTATCTATCTATCTATCTATCTATCTATCTATCTATCTACCTATCTATCTATCTATCTGTTACTGTTTACTTCTCTCGATCTACCTGCCTCAATTTGTTCATATCCATCCCAGTCTTTTCATATCTATCTATCTATCTATCTATCTATCTATCTATCTATCTATCTATCTATCTCAGTGATTTTCAGACCTTTTTTACCTCATGATCCCTTTTACCATATGTCTGAATGTCATTCCTACATTTCCAAATTGTATGCCTGAAAATGTGCATTCCAAATAATATTCATATAATATTGAAAATCCTTTATTTTCTTCCATATTAATATATTTACCATTGCATAGATTTTTTTATAGTTAAGTTTTCCACATTTAAAAGCAATTGAAAATGGATGTTAAAATTTGAATAAAAGTTTTTTTTTTTTATATTGATAATTAATTATTTAATAGACTAAAATGAAGCATACTTCAATAAAGAAAAGTTAAAATGACAAGGAATTGTAATTTAATACGCAAAAATAGAATACCAACGTTCAATAAATAAAAATGTCAGTTAAATGCCAGGCCGTTGTAAATTTGTAATTCATTTTATTCAGATGAATATTGCAGTCCATGAGAAACCTGTGATTCTTTGTCAATTCTGGAAGAAGTGCTTGAAAGAGCACGACCTAGGTCATTTTTAACCTGCAATCTACGACGTTGTTTCCTGTTTAATTTGCAACACAGTTGAAAAGCCTGACTCACAGAGACATGTTGCTACAAATGGAAGATTGAATTTTCTGACACTTTTGGGTAGAAATCGCACATTAAGGGCCAAAATTCTATGACTGATTTCTCATTGGGCATATCTTTTGCTACCGAATCTGTTTTCAGCTGCAGAAATTCATCTTGACAATAATCAGGAACATTTTCATCTGACATTTTGAATGGATTTCACACTGAAGTGGCAGAAAACACAAGCTCTAGCAAATAGAAAAACTAGCGTACCTCTCAGTTGCGCGGACTGATGCACTTTGCGGAAAATAAAGGGTTCAGTTCGAAATTCCAATCACCTGAAAAAGGCCGAAGTGCACAACGGCCGTGAATATGCCAATAAAGATGAGGAGAACAGTCCGAACAATTTAAATAAAGTAATGTAAATAATTCGTATCAGCGTCGCCCACGTGACGACAACGTGACCATGTTTTAAACGGAGCGCTGATCTTATAAAACTTTCAGTTATCTGTTTGGATAAGTCTTGTTCTTATGTACATCGTCTTTGTCATGTTGAATTGATAATGTTATAATTTATGAATATGTCCTGAAGATGGTTTATTAGACCGAAATGTTCGACGTTGACATATTAACATTAAAACAGCATAATTGTATATAAGGATTTTTGTTTGTTTTTTCCGTATATATTTTTCTTCATACTGTCGGATTTATATCCATATATTTTTACATATATATATATATATATATATATATATATATATATATATATATATATATACACACGTATTCCATGTAAAGAAAAATATACACGGCAAAGCAGAATGTAAGGAGAAACAAGGAATGGTTTTACATATAATATGGAAATTCTTCTGTTTCTGGAGAAGCCATGTTTAGGATACCAGATTCAAACGGGTCGGATTCATCTACTATGTCCCAGGCTCGGACATATTCTACGAAGGGGAAACGGTGAGTCTAGGGTTTTCCCAAATTGAGGACTGCGAGACGGAGTATCTTTTTATATCTGGAGTAGATATAATATCAAAGTCAAAAGATGCCATATGCTTGTAAGCTGCCAGTGGAGAGATTTAGACTCAGCCTGGCCGTTTGACACAGGCTAAGAAAAAGCAGCCGCTCGCTTTGGCTGCTTGTGAACAAACAAAATGAATCACCACTCTCGTCACCGTATAATGTGACGTCATTAAGCGGTCGTCACCGTGACCCATGTGACTTATCGCCGCCAAAGGGAGATAATCACCTTTTGTATCCCTACACATATCTTTACCAAGAGAATTTTTGCGACTGTGAACGCAACAGGCTAAGCTGGGATTTAGATTCGGTTCAGTGATTCTCCGTTCCGCTTCGAGAGTAAATAAATAATAGATTCTATAATACTGAGGTCACAATACCATGAAAGTGTAAAAATACATTTTGATAGTTAAGGGGCCAGGAATAGATTTTGAAAGTAAAAAAAAATCCGTTTTTGTGAAAGAAATTACTAATACCCCTGAGAAAATTAAATTTCGTAATAAAGTGACCCATAAGGTGTTGATATGCCGTTAAACAGGCAAAACAAACAAACAAATTGAACGGGAAGGGTCAACAAGATCGACACGTGTAGTGCATTCGGTCGGCATTAATTATATCTAAAAAAAAAAGAAGTGTATATATGAGAATCATTTTTGACGCTATGTTCCCTAAGGAGTAGATGATAATGATTCTACATGTTACTTTTATTTATTATCTGCTTCAAAACAAAAACAAATGTTAAAGCAATGTTATAAAACTAATTAAATAGGCTAAATTCAAAATCCAAATATATTGGAAGTTAAAACTTAAATTTCAATGTTGAGCGTCTCTGTATCTTTAACGTTTTGATGTAAACTGTAGCCAGCGTTTGGTAGCACATAATTTTAGCAAGATCCTTTATTAACATTCCTCCTGACATCAAACGACTTATTCGACACTGGAGGCATCTTATCGAAAGGCATCACGGCTGTTCCTTGTTTCTTATCTCTATCTATAAAAGGCAGGATGTGTGTGTGTGTGTGTGTGCAACGAATGCACGGCCGCGATTTTCGACGGATTTGCACCAAAATTTACATGCACATGCACCAAGTTAGCGGGAAGGCCAATACCGACATTGCATTTCCCAAATCCCATCGATAGTGGAAATAATCGATTTTTCCATGCTTCTACGGCAGTTTTCATGTAGTTTGTGGCTATTTCGTACTGGCCAGAGTGAGAGCCAATAGCTGGCTGCCACGAATAGGCAGGGAGATTCTACTGGCCAGCGTGAGAGCCAACAGCTGACTGACACGAATGTTAACTAGCATGCAAAAAAATAAAAAAAGTCGATAGCTGTATTCGTCACAAGTGGGAAAAATTTAAATCTGCATGGCACTTTACTCCAATTGGCCCATTCGCTTGCTTAAACTCAACGTTGATTCTGATTCCGCAGAACTGGGTTTGGGTGTGAAAAAGTATTTGTTGTTAACATTCTTTTTTCATTCGTTTTTTCCAGTTACGAGTCCTTTTTTAAAGCTGATCGTTTTGTGTTCATTTTGTTTAGTTCTTTTTTCGTTACAGATTTAGTGTTTAGTATTGAGCTTAGAAAAAAATCGCAGTGTGAGATAGGCAAGAAGTAAGGCATGTAGCAACATCAGCACGGCAAAGAGCACTCCTTTCAAGGCAAAGAAGGGCAAACATATTTTAAGTCAAGTGATAGCGATTGCTGTATGAGTCGTACGATTTTTTGAATCAAGCACGGGCAACGCCGGGTCATGCTGCTAGTATTTAATAAAATACATTCATTTCTGGGCACACGCATCTACCCTGGTGGCCACACAATCCCTGATGCTGATGTCTTCCGAGGCACATTTATGTTTGTTTAACACACAAAGCACACTTATAAAGGTCTAAACACCATAGTTGCTTATACTGCAACTATGGTGATTAGACATTTGTTGCACAACACAGTTTGACCCAAGCCTTGTGAATAAATGAAATTGGGTGGACTGAACCGTTTGGAAGCCGTCGTTGGTTGCAATAGCAAGAAGTTGCAAGTCCCTGTGACCGATGGTTTGAGCGTACTGGCATTGTTCAAATGACTGATCATGCCAAATAATGCGCTTTCCTCCCGAATACATACATACACTCATATATATAAGTAGACATTTGGGCACCTCGAGGCGGTGCAATGGTTAGCAAGTTTGTTTCGCAAGAACAACTACAACTAAGTGAGTTCGATCAT